GAATTGGAAGGCTTGAGTGGCATGGTAGGATCTGCTTCAAGCTCATTCATGTGTCTGTTGCAAAAAGCCTTAGTTCCTTGCCCTGTGTGTACCTCCTTAGATGAGTGTCTACCCAACATGGCAAGTGACTTAACCCAGAATGAGTGATCCAAGAGAGTAGACCAAGCAGGAAATCACAGTGCCTTTGAAAACTTATTCTCTGAGAATGTACACCATCACTTCTGTTTAGTTCTGTTCACTAGAAGTCAGTCAGTATGTCCAGCTCACATTCATTGGGAGGGAAAGTCTCCACCTCTTGACTATAAAAGAATTTGTGAACATTTGAAAACCACCACAGTCTACCTTCTGGCCACAAATTATTTATTTATTTATTTATTATTTTTTTAAAAAGATGACTGGTAAGGGGATCTTAACCCTTGACTTGGTGTTATCAGCACCACACTCTCCCAAGTAAGCCATGGACCGGCCCACACAAATTATTTATATTCCTCCCTTATGCAAAAATAAACTTCCTCCTACTCAAAGCCCTTAAAAGTCTCATTATATCGTGAAATCATAATGAAGTCCAGAATCTCAACACCTGAATCAGGTCCAGGTGCAGATGAGGCTCCTTAAAATGTATTAAATTAAGTACAGCTCTCTGTACAGTTCCTCATGGATTGAAGATTTGTGAAGTAGAGACAAGTTATCTGTCCCTAAAATACCCAATATACAATGGTGGGACAGATATACATCATATCAATTCTGTTTCTCTGGAGAACCCTGACTAATACAGATTCGGGTACCAGGAATGGTTCTAGAGAAACAGAATTTTAAAGATGAGTTTTCTGCACTGGTTTTGGGATTCCTGGAATTAGCTCTAATGCACTTCCCACCACCTCCTCATCTCCACTACCTTGCTCTGACTCTGAGCCACCTCAGCCCACAGACATGAATTGTCTGCCTGTGAGTTGCAGAGCACTGTCCCAAGTACCTTGGAAACAGTAAGAGATTTAAAACCTGCACCTGCCAGGCATCCCGTGCTTTACTGTGGAGCCAAGACATAAGTTGAAAGATTTGAAAGCAGAGTCTGGTTTCCAGTCCTGGTGCAGTGGGACATGGTCTTTGGCAAGGCTCAACACCTCTGGGTCTGTTTCCTCACCTGCAAAAAGACAGAATAGCAATTTCTCCCACCCAAGGTGGTTGTCAGGATTTAACAGAGCCTATGTTTACCAAAGCATTTTGTAAATTGTAAACCCCCATGCAAAGGTGAAAAAAAAAATCACAATACAAAACGAAATATGGTAAGTTCTAATTAAGGGGGAAGAAAATAAGTATTGTGATTTCAGCTGATCTGATTACAAGAAAAAAAAAACAAAAAAGACGTCCCTGAAAAGGGTTGAATTGAGTTTGGAGAAGTCGCAAGGACTAACTGGTGGGACGTTACCTGGACACTGTCCTCTGTGTTCCCTCACCTCTATCCGGTGTCTGTCGTCATTTCAGTATCATTTTAAGTTCTCCTTTACCTTTGCTTTCCTAAAATGCTGTTTCCTCCACTTATTCTGGGGGTCTGCGAAGATCTCATTTTTTCCTTTGGCTCTAGGTGTGTGTTTTTATCAGAGGTAATTTTGTCTTCATTTTTTTCCAAGAGCAAATTAAAATTGGGAATAAGGGAAAATCCCAGCCCTAGGTGGGACCAGCAATCATCATTGGTAGGAGGGGCGAGCTGGTGGCACATGGAGGGGCTCTCTGGGTTTTAGGCTTCTTCGGATGAGAACTCTTGACCTTGCGGGGCCACCGCTTTAGCAGGGTCACCGGGAAGGGCTCGCCGTGGTGGGCTCTCTGGGTTTTAGGCTTCTTCGGATGAGAACTCTTGACCTTGCGGGGCCACCGCTTTAGCAGGGTCACCGGGAAGGGCTCGCAGTGGTGGGCCGATGAGAGGAGCGGAAACGGGCGGGGCCGGGGCGGGGCCGCGGGAGTCCGGGACGGCGTGTGCTGGGCTGGAGCACGCAGCCACTGGCCCCCAGCAGACCCTACGCCCAGTAGTCGGGGTCCCCGGCGTGCGGCTGGTGAGTGGGACGGCGGGAAGTCGCGCTTGCGATGGCAAAGGCTGATGGCTGTGTTTGTCTTGTACTCCTCCGCCCCTCACCTCGGCAGGCGAAGGGAGACTGCGTCCGTAACCTTGGAGGGGCTTCCGACCTCTGGGGTCCCTCGGGAAACCTGGGTTAGTCAAGGGTGTGGCCCAGTGCCCCGTCCACTGTGGCCACGCTGGGGACTCGACGCACAGGAGGGGCTTCTAGCATGTGTTGAGAGAGTCGGGATCCCAGAGGAGGAATTTCGGGCAGACGGGCATCGGGCAGTGCCGTCCCAGCCCATGGGACCATTTCTGAGCACATAAGGCCATTCAGTAGGTGTTGGTAAGCGCCGCTGTGCCAAGCAAGAGTGAGCGAAACAGCCTTCGTTCCTGCCCGCGGGAAGCTTCCAGGCTGGGGCGCGGGAGCTGCGCGCGCAATGACAAACGGTAAGCTCTCAGGACCCGGGCCCGGAGCGACCATCAGGGCCCGCGATCTGGTCAGCAGGGGCAGGGCAATGGCTGGAAAGGGTCCTTGGGGCCCTGAGCAAAAATCTAAAGGCAGCGTGATCAGGGCGAATATAGGATTGCTTGGTGGAGGGGTGGAAAACTCACCTGGCTGGAGTCTCGGGATTGGGGGCGTCGAGGGTGGACCCCGCGAGGCTCTGCAGGTGTGTTGGGGATTTCAAAGGCCGTTCTCAAAAGTGCTGTGAAGAACCATTGGAGGGTTTGGGTGGACTCAGAGGACTAGAAGATGGCGACACATTCCTTCGGGGAATTTACATTCTGGAAGGGTGGGGACAGGCCTGGGTACAGATAGCCCACATGCGACCTCCAGTCCCCTAACCAAAAGTCTGAGGAGTTACATCCAACGTCCTTCCATCCTCCAGCCCGGCTGAGCTCCGAAGCCCTTAGGATGAAGAAAGTAACCATGGGAGGTAATTGTGCATGTGGGTATGCGTGGGGGTGGGGCGGGGCTTCTTCCTACTACTCCTCAGCAAATGCCACCCCGAGGACTTAGTGACTGCAGTAGGTCTTCCCTGTCCTGGAACTGGAAGGCCAGGTCCTTGAGGACACTATATTGAGACTGTTTGATGTGTGGTTGGCCAGAAAATGGGAGAATAATCCTGGCTCTGCACAACCTCACAAAATGATTGTGAATAGTCAATCTTGAAAGAAGGAAAGGAGGGGGAGGGAAGGGAAGAGAGAAGGGTGGAAGAGAGAAAATAACTTCAGATCCTAGGAGTGCAGCTTTCATGACAACTTTTTGGGGATCCAGTTAACTCTATTCTTTTCTTTTTTTTTTTTTTTTTGTCCTTTTTGAGACCAGCCGCACCGCGCTCAGCCAGTGAGCGCTGTGAACGCACCGGTCATCCCTATATAGGATCCGAACCCACACCGGGAGCGCTCTGCGCTCCCAGCGCCGCACTCTCCCGAGTGCGCCACGGGATCGGCCCAATTAACTGTATTCTTAAAATGCCGTTTTCCTTGCCGGTGTTTTCAATTCCACTACCGCTACAAAAAAGCGAGAGGGAGGGGAGATGTGGCTGAGTGGCTGTCTCCAGGAAGAGGCGGGAGTTCAGCTGCGTTTGCAGGAGCTCTCCAAGGGTGAGCAGGAACTGTGGTGCGGGCTCATTGTGAGCCCTGGATAAGTGATTGCTGTTAGGTTGTTAGTATTTTTTACAAGGATCTGTCTGTATATATTAAAAATCCACAGCGTGGTGCTGATAACACCAAGTCAAGGGTTAAGATCCCTTTACCGGTCATCTTTAAAAAAAAAAAAAAAAACCTCTAAGATCCCTACCAGGACCAAATATATATGATTCTGTGACCTGGATTTTTAATTTTTTTTTTTTTTTTTTTTAAAGATGACCGGTAAAGGGATCTTAACCCTTGACTTGGTGTTATCAGCACCACGCTGTGGATTTTTAATATATACAGACAGATCCTTGTAAAAAATACTAACAACCTAACAGCAATCACTTATCCAGGGCTCACAATGAGCCCGCACCACAGTTCCTGCTCACCCTTGGAGTTGACTTGGTGTTGTCAGCACCACGCTCAGCCAGCGAGCAAACCAGCCATCCCTATATGGGATCTGAACCCGGGGCCTTGGTGTTATCAGCACCGCACTCTCCCGAGTGAGCCACGGGCCGGCCCTAGAGGTTTTTTTTTTTTAAATTTATTCTCACATTTCTTATGAAACAAAGTCAGGCTCATTCAAGGTGTTCATGACAGATTTAGGCCTGTTTACCCCAGGCACATGCAGTTCAGTGGTACTGAGTCTAAGATTTAAACACAACTCTCCTGTGGATCAAGAATGACCTTGTACAAGTTACTCAGCATCTCTGCCAGTAATTTGTGCCTCATGTGGCACTGCTGAGAGGATTCAACAACACAGAGCATGCATTCCTTGGCCAAATAAGAAAGCCGTTGTTTCTTACTCTCCCTCTTGCTGATGTGTTTTGTTTCTCTCTGACTTCAGGTTCCTAGACGTGGGCACCATCCAGTGACTAGAAGCAGAGTGGAAGAGAAGGCAGACGCTTACCCCAGCCTGGCATTTCTGGACAACGGCAGCTGAGCCAAGGGTGACCAGGGCCCTGAAATCCATGGCCCAGGCTTTGAGGGAACAAAGGTATTCTCAGTTGTGAAAGAGGAGAATTTGGACAGCAGAACAAAAAAGGAAGACTGCACCTTGGAGTAGATACATTTGTCACAGGAAACCACATCCGAACCTGGGAACTTTGCAGGGCCTCTTTATCTGCCCAGTTACTGGAAGTTAGATAGCCCCAGGAAAGAGTCCAGTCATCCCTGGGGGCCTGGCCAAGAGGAAATAAAGCTAGAAGGAATCATCACAGAAGAGAAGGTGTTGGACCAGCTGAAGCCAATTGAACCGGTACAGCAGCAGCTCCCTCAGGTGTGCACAGTGGCAGCTGCCCTGCAGGAAGCCATGGAGAGAGACTGCTGGCAGAAGGCAAGGGTGAAGGTGAGGAGGCCACACTAGAGAGAGGGAGGGACCAGGCCCCAGACTCCAGTGGCTCTTTCATCCATTCCCCTGCCTGCAGGTCAAATGGAGCCTCAGATTGTTCCAAGCTGAACGAAACCAGGAAAAGGAGCTGCTGGACCCCCCTGGCATCCTTTGTGGAGTGCTTCCTGAAATGTCAGAGTGGCAGCCTTTCTTCCTTTGCTTTTCTTTCCTATTTATATTTGATATATCTCCCTCCCTTCCCCCCTACATGTTTCTTTCTCTCTATCCTTGCTGTCTTTTCTTTACAGTTGCTGGCTTTATGCCTGTCTTTTTATATTTCTCTCTTTTGTGGTTTCATTTTTCTCTTAGGTTTCAGTTCTCTGAACCTTGAGACTGGATGTCAGTCTCTGTATATATAGGCTCCCTGAGTCTCTCCTGCTCTTTCAGAAGCCAGTCACCTTTGAGGATGTGGCAGTGAATTTCACCCAGGATGAGTGGGACTGTCTAGATGCCAGTCAGAGGGTCCTTTATGAGGATGTCATGGCGGAGACCTTCAGGAACCTAGTGTCTGTTGGTAAGAGGCTGGGGTCCCTCAGCAAGCCCCCTGTTCTAGGGCCCTGGAGCATCTGGTTTCCCTGCACCGGTAGATCAGCTCACATTTAGCTTCACTGACCCCTGGATTTATACCTCCCAGGTGTGGAAGATCTGGGTCACTAAGCTCAGAGGTAAAAAGGAAAAGAAATGAAAGCCTGCATGAAGGCAAAGATAACACATGGTGACAGTGTTCTTAAAATATGCATCTTTAACTGTTCATTTGACAATTATTTACTAAGTCACTCCTATATGCCAGGAACTTTGCTAGGAGCTGGCCTTTTGAATATCTTGTTCCTGTACTTAAGTATCCCAGGTTATGGTTCTTAAACCAATGATATAAGAGGTAGCCTGTTATCCCCATCAGGTGTGAAGGGGCCAAGCCCAAGACCAACTCAACTCTTTCTCATGCCTACTCCCTAGCCAGAATTTTTCTGCATAAACCAGATCTGGTCAGTAAGCTTGAGCAAGAAGAGGGACGGTGGAAAGCAGATCTTCATCCCCCAAGCAGAGAGGACCTCCCTTCAGGTAAGAGTTGCAAAGGAGAGGGGAAGACAAAAAGGGTCCCACACAACCCCTGGAAGGATGGAGAGCTGACTGAGAGGATCAAGGCTCCCTATGACCTCTCCTAGCCTACACCTTTCCAGCCTGGTCAGACTTGGAGCTGGAAGACACCTTGAGATCACAGGCTCAAGTTCCTTGGCTTAGATGAATATCTAAGCCTTTCAGGACAAGTGAATGTTTTCAGTTTCTAGGGATTGTGAGATTATGTTTAGGTTGCTTATGTCAGTGATTCTGCTTTGATTAAAATTTTCTGTCCAAGAGAAAAGAGAAGCAAGGGAGATAAGCTTGATGCTAGGTTAGAGTAGGGGAGACATGTTCCTGGGAGTAGAGTAACGAGCTGAGAGAGAGAACAGGCCAGGCTTGTCACACCTCCCAGTTTTTCAGGACAGTCCTGGTTTATATGCATCATCCCAGTCTGATTATTTAATTAATCAATTAATTTTTAAAGATGATTGGTAAGGGGATCTTAACCCTTGACTTGGTGTTGTCAGCACCACGCTCTCCCAAGTAAGATGCGGGACGGCCCCCAGTTTGATTATTAATAATACCTCTTTTCACTCTCAAATGTCCCAATTTGCATGATCTATTATGTGGTCACCTTTGGGTGTCTGGGATGTCTGTGGGAGTGTGAGCAATATTGAGAATGAGAGGAAATAGTTTCAGGAAAAACAGTAAGTTAAAATTTAGATCGCTGACATTGTTGAAAGACTCCAGCACAATTTTTATTTGCTTTTAATCTGAAAAACCAAGTTTCTTATCTTTAGCCTATGAAGTCCAAGAGTGAGATCGAATGCACTGGGTGGGGAAGTGAGGGCAGGAAGAAAGAAGGTGGCTTGGGCTGGACAGAGAGCTCGTGTTGGCGATTTCATAGTGAATCTTATGTTATTCTTCCTCATTCGCGAAAGGAGGTAAGAAAGAGAAACTTCGAGTTCAAGGTCAGAGACTGAGAGATGAGAGGACTAGTGATGACAAGGTCTTCTCCCTTGATAGTAGAGGGGCAGGTCAAAGCCCGCCCTCTGTTCTAGCTGGCTCTGTGGACAGGACCTCAGTGTTCCAAGCATCCCCAGCTGGGCCAAACTTTTCCTGCCACACCTGCGGCAGGTGTTTCAGCAAGCGCTCCTACCTCCTTAGCCACCAGTTTGTTCACAGCCCCAAGCAAACTAACAGCTGTAGCCAATGTGGGAAATTGTTTCGGAGCCCCAAGACCCTTGGCTACCACAAACGCATGCATCTTGGGGAGAGGCCCTTCTGTTGCTCACTCTGTGACAAGACCTACTGTGATGCTTCTGGACTGAGTCGTCACCGCCGTGTCCATCTGGGTTACCGGCCCCATTCATGCCCCGTGTGTGGGAAGGGCTTCCGGGACCAGTCTGAGCTCAAACGCCACCAAAAGGTACACCAGAACCAGGAGCCAGAGGCTGGAAAACAGGAGCATATTGTGAGGATTCCAGGCACAGCTGCATTCCAGGCACCCATCCTCAGGAGCCCGAGGTCCACTGAGGGGCTCGTGGATGTGAACTATGCACCAGTGGTCAGGAACCCAGAAGCCATATTTAGAACTGAGAGCCCCATGGCCCAGATCCAGCCACCTGTACTTAATAACCAAGCACCTATGGCCAGGACCCAGGTGATCACTGGGAGAACTCAGGAGCCCATTGTTACAACTTGAGGATTCCAGGCACAGCTGCATTCCAGGCACCCATCCTCAGGAGCCCGAGGTCCACTGAGTTGCTCGTGGATGTGAACTATGCACCAGTGGTCAGGAACCCAGAAGCCATATTTAGAACTGAGAGCCCCGTGGCTCAGATCCAGCCACCTGTACTTAATAACCAAGCACCTATGGCCAGGACCCAGGTGATCACTGGGAGAACTCAGGAGCCCATTGTTACAACTTCGGGGCCTGTAACCAGGACCCAGGCACCCAACACTAGAACCTCCTGCCTGGATACCAGATCCAAATCTCATCCAGTGAAGCCCTCAGGACTCAAGGTCTTCTCTTGCCCCCATTGTCCCTTGACTTTTAGCAAGAAAGCTGATCTCTCCAGCCACCAGAAGGCACATCTCATGGAGCAGCCCAACCACTGCTTCCACTGTGGCAAGTCCTTCAGCTCATTGCCCAGGCAGGTCAGCTACCAGCAGACCCAGAGGAAGGAGAAGACCTACTGTTGCCCCGTCTGTGACCTCTGCTTTGGGGAGAAGGAAGGCCTTTTGGATCACTGGAAGGGCTGTAAAAGCAAAGAACTATGCCTGGGAAGCACCCCTGAATGCTGGGTGACCCTGACTCAGTGGCTTGGCTTCTTTCACGATGCCTCCCTTGTGGCTGGGAAGGATCAGAAGCACGGAGGAAAGGGGTCTCCTCCGAGGGTCTATACCACCAGGAGAAGGGAAGGTGAGGGAGAAGGCATGCAAAGGAGAGAAGGCAAAGGAGGCAGTGAGGGTCTTTAAGTANTGTCCATCTGGGTTACCGGCCCCATTCATGCCCCGTGTGTGGGAAGGGCTTCCGGGACCAGTCTGAGCTCAAACGCCACCAAAAGGTACACCAGAACCAGGAGCCAGAGGCTGGAAAACAGGAGCATATTGTGAGGATTCCAGGCACAGCTGCATTCCAGGCACCCATCCTCAGGAGCCCGAGGTCCACTGAGTTGCTCGTGGATGTGAACTATGCACCAGTGGTCAGGAACCCAGAAGCCATATTTAGAACTGAGAGCCCCGTGGCTCAGATCCAGCCACCTGTACTTAATAACCAAGCACCTATGGCCAGGACCCAGGTGATCACTGGGAGAACTCAGGAGCCCATTGTTACAACCTCGGGGCCTGTAACCAGGACCCAGGCACCCAACACTAGAACCTCCTGCCTGGATACCAGATCCAAATCTCATCCAGTGAAGCCCTCAGGACTCAAGGTCTTCTCTTGCCCCCATTGTCCCTTGACTTTTAGCAAGAAAGCTGATCTCTCCAGCCACCAGAAGGCACATCTCATGGAGCAGCCCAACCACTGCTTCCACTGTGGCAAGTCCTTCAGCTCATTGCCCAGGCAGGTCAGCTACCAGCAGACCCAGAGGAAGGAGAAGATTTACTGTTGCCCCGTCTGTGACCTCTGCTTTGGGGAGAAGGAAGGCCTTTTGGATCACTGGAAGGGCTGTAAAAGCAAAGAACTATGCCTGGGAAGCACCCCTGAATGCTGGGTGACCCTGACTCAGTGGCTTGGCTTCTTTCACGATGCCTCCCTTGTGGCTGGGAAGGATCAGAAGCACGGAGGAAAGGGGTCTCCTCCGAGGGTCTATACCACCAGGAGAAGGGAAGGTGAGGGAGAAGGCATGCAAAGGAGAGAAGGCAAAGGAGGCAGTGAGGGTCTTTAAGTAAATGACCTTTCCAACTGAGGTCTTTGTGTTTGGTTTTCCTGAGGACTGGCCTCCAGGGTTAGGAGGCTGGGATAGAGGGAGAGAGGTGAGTGGATAATGAAGGAAATAGGAAAAAGAAAAGGGAAAAGAAATGTGTACATGGAAATTTATATTATTGCTAATTAGCACTTTGCTTGTTTCTTTGTGTCTGAAAGACCATCAACTAGTAATTGTTGAATAAAACAGTGGCGCTCTGACAGGTAAGAAGATGGGAGAAAAAGGGTAAGAGGAGAAGAGACTGGGGGACCCCCGGAAGATGTGGAAGTAGAAGGGAAACAATCTAGGGGGCTGGGCGATTAGAGTGAGGTGTCCTAACACCAAGGTCAAGGGTTCCAATCCCTTTACCAGCCAGTCACCTCCCCCCCACAAAAAAGGGGAAAGGGAACATTCTGAAACAGATGTGCTGCCCAGTTCAAATCCCTTGCTTCCCTAGTTTCTAGTCGGCTGCCAAGATGAGATAGAGCTCTGGCCAGTTTTTGGTGGGTTTCTGCCCATCTCCAGGTTTTGGTTAGGGCTCCGCATATCGTTTCTCTGCAGCTCACTCAGCTCTTCCATGTTTGGGCTCTTCCTATTCTTTCTACCCTCCACAGCTCTCAGCTCTGCCCAGTCACTGCTGGGGTTTTGGAAGAAACAACAAGCATTTGCAAAGTTGTGCTGTAATTTGCAGTGAGGAGGTTCCTGGTGTCCAGTTCATGGCAGACCGTCCTGTCTGTTATTCTCCAGCATAGGGGTCCTCTAATGGAGAGAGGGGCACCCACCTGGACTTAGCCAGAGAGGGCTTCCAGATGGAAGATTAGAGAAAGGAGTGGAAAGATGTGGGTAGCAAAAGGGGGGATGGAAGAAAGGAGAAGGAAAAGGTAGACATAGAAGATGGAAAATCAATTATATTTGGAATTCAAAGTGTTCCTGGAAGTGCAGATTGGAATGTCCCATAGCAGAGAGGCCAGTGAGTGTGCAGCTTGATGGATGAGACAACCAGGCTCTCCAGCCCCGCGAAGATGCGACATCACTCAGAAGGGGTTTCCTAGAAGAAGGAGAAAATAACCTGAAAAATCTATGTCAGCAGTTTCTATTGTGAAACCATTGAACCAGGAAGACAAAAAGCCCTTTGGGGTCATTTGCCTCTGTGCCTGCCTCAGTGGCTAGTCCTGGGGGAAAGGCACAGGGTGGCTGCTATAGAGAGTGGGAGGAGGCCATCTGGAGGGGGGTTCCTGCTGAGGGGCACTGCAGGTGGAGCGAATCAGGCAGGAGGTGGGGGTGCGCCAGCTTCCCTCTCTGCCACCTGTGAACTTGTCTCTAACAGCTGACCTCCTTCCCGTCTACCTCGCTGGAGTGGTCCTCCCTCCACCAGGCTCTCCAGCCTCTCATTTTGGATTGTGATTCCTCAATAGCCTCCCTCTTCCTCCTGTTGCTTGTGGCTCCCTTTCCTGGCTTTTTGTTTTCAGCTTATAGAAAGAAAAGAGAACTTACTTAGCTCTTCAATAAAGTGCCCTGAAAACAAAGAAACAAATAAGTGGTCAGTGGAAGAGGACTAGCTCCCTCCCCCACATCCTCGCTTCTGGACATTCGAACTGACCACCCGTCCTTTTCCACTGAGGAACCCCACCGATCTCAGTAAGTGGTTCTCTTCACATTTTCTCTAAGGACTGGGATTGGGTAGGGTGACAGAGAAGGAAGGAAATCCAGGCTCCTCTGTTTCCCAGGCTGACTTGGTCCCCAACTGCTCAGTGCCCAGCCACTGCACCTGCTAGTCTTCGATGCAGCCAGTTGTAGCAGATGATCAAGGCAACGAGGGGTCCAAGAACCGGCACAATTACAAACAGGGTTATCTTCCAGCAGGGCACCCTCAGAAAGTGGGGATCTGAATCGTTCAATCCAGAACAAACAGGATTAACATGTGTTGCCCTCCTGCCCCACCCACCCTTCTTACTGAGTTTCTTAACCTTCGGTTAAAGAACACCAAAGGACTCTGGGGACAGAATCTAGAAAGCCTTGATGAGAATAGCACTACATCTTTATTTTCACTAACCTCTAACTGGATTTAGCATTTTCTTCCATTAAAAATATAAGCAAAAACCATAGTACAGCAGCACCTGGGACTTTATCACCAATGGAAACCACAGATGCTTTCATTCCCATTAGAGTTGTTAGAGAAATCTTGAAATAACTTTATGTTTAATCAATATTTTGAAATTACAAGTTATTAGACTTGCTGCTACATTGTGATGTGATGCATTTTGTTATTTAAAGAAATATGTTACTCTATAACTTGTTTATATGTTGATAACTATATTTCAATACAATGTGTGTCCTCCCCTCCCCCATAATCCTATGTGTTTTATGTGTGCATTTAAAAACACTATTCTGGGAGGGGGTCCATTAGACTTTACCAGACTGTCGAAGAGATCATTGTACAAGAGAGTTAAGACCTTTGATATTCAAATCCTACAAAACAAAAGATTCTGTTCCTCCTCTTTGGGTGCTCAAAGACTGTGTGTGTGTGTGTGTGTGTGTGTGTGTGTGTGTGTGTGTGTGTGTGTGTGTGTGTGTGTGTGGTCTGCATGCTGGTCCAATGTCATAAATCGGAGAGCAGAGTAGGATCACCTACAGCCTCAGGGGGAGAGGCCATTCAGAAAGATTGCTCAGAGCAAGGACTATCTGTGCTCTGCCTGATTCCCTCTTATAATTTCTTCTGCAACTTTCATTCAACAAATATTTGAGTGCCCTTCTGTTGTAGGCACTGGGCAATCTGCAGTGAACAAAAAAGGCAGAGACCATATCCTTGAAAAGTCAACTTTCTTGTGGGGCTTGGTGGCTTCACTCTTCCTCCAAGGAAGCCTTCTCTGATAAGTTGTGTATAAAACTCATTCTGTCATGTACATACAGTAGATAATATATATATGCTTTGTTCTGTTACTTCAAGTATGTTTCACCTCTCCAACTAGACACCAAGTTTATGTGCAAAGGATCTGTTTACCTTGTTTTTGTAATTCCCAAAAAGAGAAATAATGTGCATAAGGAATTAACATTTGAAAAGCTGTTAATAAAGTGCCTGGCACATAAAAGGAGTATATAAGTATTTGCTATTATCTAACAATCCTAGATGCAAATGACGACTTAAAGAAAGAAAAAGAGAGGAAGGGAGGAAGGGGGCCACTCTGGAGCCAGGGGTCCTTGTTCCCCCAGGCAACTGGAACCTGAGTGAAACACCAAGTTGACCCAGGAGGGCCAGGATATACCAGCACTTACCAAAATTCCGGTGGAGGTTCTCTGAAAGAGGAACATATGAAAATGGACTTAGTGGGACAGTCAAAGGGGATTCTTTCTCCTCTGAGTCTTTGTTAAAATTGCTTCTAGTCCTGATAGACGTTAGAGGAAGGGAAGCTACAGGATTTTACCCCTACCCTGGCTGAAGGCAGGAGAGCACTGAGACTGTCTACAATTCTCAGCTGGTTGGAGGAGTTTTAAATAGTGAATTTCTCAGCTGAAGGGAGTTCAGGGTATTGGGAGAGAGGCAGAGATGGTTTGAGAAAATATCTATATAGTTATACTGAAGACCAAAAGGGAAGAATTGGGGGGTACCGTGGAGGGTGTGTGGAACTCACCTATCTCTGCTCGAAGTTTTCCTAAAATAGAAAAAGGCAACATTTTTAATTTCTGCACTGGCACTAGGTGGGGACCCTTCCAAACCCAGCGCCCTAGGCCTTTGTACAGGTTACTTCTCTGCAACCTGGGAGCATCCTTAGGAGAGAGTTGGAAGGGCACTGGATTTGGAGCCAAGAGTTCAGGCTCTTTTCCTGGCTGTTGTCTGAATTAAATACTGAAATAAAGAATGCCAAGAGCCTCAGAAAATAGCAACGCCTCAAACCATCGTAAGATCTTATTTTCTCCCCCCACTGCTCTATGCTCCTTTTCTTGGTTCTCTGTTCCCATTGCCACTCCTCCCTGCTGGGTTGTCACTTTGTAAATCTAAAGCCACTTTCTATCTGAATGATAAAGGGAGGAAGGAAATATTTAGTGAGCAGCTACTTTGTGTCTGGCTCTGTACTAGGCACTTTGCATAGCATTATCTGCTTTAATCCTTCCTACAATTTAGGAGGGAGGATGTTGTCTCTACTTGACAGACAAGGTGCTAAGTAGTGGAGAACCTAAGAATTTTGCTCAGAGTTTAGTGCCTGAGATTGGATTCAAACCCAGTCTACCTAACTCCATCATTCAGGTTTTTTCTACTTGGCCATATGGGCTAAAGGACTTTTTCATGTGGGAGAAATAGGTAACCAAGCATCTGGGATGAAATCAAGGCAAGAGAAAGGACCCCGTTGTTGATCCCATCAATACCTGCCCCCTCCCACATGCCCCAGCCCTCGTTGCTGCTTTATGCTCTTAGGAGAGTGAAGGTCCTTTGTGTTTTGGTGTTGGGGAGAACACTTGGTGGGGGAAAAAGGCTCCGAATGGAAACTCTGGGCACAAAAGAGTAGCTTCATGGACAGTTGAACTGGAGTCCTCAGTGTTGAATGTAAAAGAAGGAGGAAAAAATTTTTGAACACCTGCTCTGTGGTAGTGTTGGAGTGAGCAGGATTGAAGCCATGTTGGGACCTAACACGACATGTGCTCTAAAAGATTTTAAAAAGACAGCTTCCCCCCCCCCGCTTGGCACGCATTTCTCTGAGTTCCCTCTTTCCCCATGGTTATTTGATATTTTGGACCTTGGTTATGGGGCAAGGTGACATTATTTGCATGAATGTAAAGTTGTTTTCCAGCCAGTTTGAAGCTACAGACTTGCATGTACTATCCAGACTCCATGATAAGGACAGGAGCATGAACTAGATGGAGTCTTGGTGGGACTTTGCACCTGAGACCTTGCGTGAGGCCCTCCCTGCTCATGTGCCCCTCCTCCTGCTTTTCATTTTCTCACAGTCCGTTCTCTCATCTCCCTCTTTATAAACCTTTTGGTAAACCTGTCTTGTAGATGGCTGTAGCTTGGCCATTGTCCTTCAGGTTTACCAGAGATATGGGTTAGCTCAACATCTCTCCTCAGGTCACTGGTATTCCTGAATAAAGACTGACTTCCATTTTCACCAACATTGGCTTTTCAGTGATTTTCTTTTGTCTGGGGGCAGGCGGCTGGACCTGTGAATTTGATATCAATTTTGGGGAGCCTCAGCCAGGAGCTGAGCACTGTCCCCCTGTAACAGGAGGGACTTTCACTTCAGTATATTTAAAACTCCTGAAAGCCTAGACTTGTCTGACTTTGAAGCTCACACTCTCCCAGTTGCATGAAGCTGCTAGGTATGGGGCAGGGCCTGAGCTCTGATGCTTACATGTGTCACTTTCAGTAAGTCACTGAAACACTCCCGACCTCAGTTGCCTCCTCTTTAAAGTGGGGCTATTTTATATCAGAGGTACCTCATAGGGAAATGCAAGGTCCTATTATCCATATGAAAACATTCAGTAAGATGTAAAACTTGTCGCTATGGAGTTTGGAACCCAGAAGTCACTCAAAAATAAATGTTAACTGACCTAGCTCTCAGAGGCCAGTTCACTTAGGGGAAGACCCTGATCCACCCACCCTCTGCCCCATACCTCTCAGTCTGCGCTGCAGGCAGAGGAAGGCGAGGCCCACAGCAATCTGCAGGAGGAGCACAGGCAGCACCGCGATGAGAACCAGCACCCCGGGGCTGATCCAGTAGAAGGGATCTGAAAGGCAGAACCGATGCTGCCCAGAGCTGTACTCTGAACACCCAGCACAGCCAGGGGCTTAATAAAT